GTAGTAGTAGTAGTAGTACTAGCAGTAGTAATAGTAGTTGTCGTAGTCGTAGTAGTAGTAGTAGTAGTAGTAGTAGTAGTAGTAGTAGTAGTAGTAGTAGTAGGACGAGGAGGAGGATGAGGAGGAGGAGGAGGAGGAGGAGGAGGAGGAGCAGGAGCAGGAGGAGGAGGAGGAAGAGGAGGAGGAGGGAAGGCGGCGAAGGAGGAGGAGGCGGCTGAGGAGGAAGAGGATGAAGAGAAGGGTCAGGCGGAGGGTCAGGGACTTAGGAGTTACTGGGGGGAGGGAGGAGGAGGGGGCAGGTGGATGAGGAGGAGGAGAGGGTGAGAGTGAATCTTCACGGAGGAGTAGCCTGGGGAGGGAGGATGAGGGGAGAGGCGTATGAGGAGGAGGGGAGGGTGAGAGTGATGTTTCACGGAGGGTAAACAGGTGGGACGGGGATTCTCTGTGATGATGGTGGTGGACACTTGATGCGCAGTGGGTGCGAGACCTAAGACTCGAACATCGATGATGGCGGTGGTGATGATGAAGAAGACTACTATGATCTATGATGATCATCTGTCGGTGATGCTGGAGACGATGGCGATGATGATACTGATGGTAATGTTGAGGCGAACAGGTGATGGTGATCACTCTAACGATGATGGTGCTGATGATTGCGAGGAGGAGGAGGAGGAGGAGGACGAGGAGCTCTTCGTCATCCTTCCTCTCCCCCGCCTACCACTTCATCTGGTCCGCCTGGCCCCTCCGCCAATCCTCTTCATCCCTCCCTTCCCCTGGTGTGTGTCATTCTAGAGTGTGCTTCCAGGGGTGCTTGGCGACCCCCCCTCCTCAACCTCCACCTCTTTTGCGCTTCCCGTCAAGCATACTTCCACACTCGCTCGCGCAATCGTTTCTCGGGAAGACGCCCCCACGCATCCACACTGGCCCCTGCACCTTCTCTCCTGGTGCCCGCCAGGATGACGCTCCGCGACACTGTGCAGAAGCTGAACAGGCGCGTCAGCCAAGACTGGGAGGGCACGACGGTGTCTGTCGCCGCCACGGACCAGGACACGACCGCCGCTCCGCCCCTCGCCACTCCCCTGCCTTCCCTTGTCCCAGTTCTCTCCTTCCTCATGAGGAGGAGGGGGAGGAGGAGGAGGAGGAGGAGGAGGAGGAGGAGGAGGAGGAGGAGGAGGAGGAGGCGGAGGCGGAGGCGGAGGAAGAGGAGGAGGAGGAGGCAGAGGCGGAGGCGGAGTTGGAGGAGGAGGAGGAGGACCGCCTCTCTCTGCTTTGCTGCCGCCGCTGCTGTTTCGACTCATGTCTTAGTGACTGCCTCATCTCATCTCATCCCCTCCTCGCGGCGGCGAGCGGGGATGGGCAGCGAGAGAGGGGAAGGCCTCCCCAGAGGGCGGCGGGGCACCTCGGAGGCCTGGAGGCCTTCCGAGAGTCCCTCCGTGGCTCCGCCCTCTGAGGCGGCCGCCCCCTCTGCCTTGCCAACTGGGCGCGCTGCCGAGTCCCTCCCTCCTCTCCTCCGTCCCCTCCTGGTCTCTGCTCTGCTCGATATAGCCATCCGGGGTCCAGAAAGCGCAAGACGGCTCCTGGTGACTCCAGTCTGGCCCGGCCCTCCATGATGAAAGTATACGTGCCGTTTGCCTCTGACTCTCCGCCCCGGGCGATATACACAAACACCCTCCAATGGATTGTTCCTGGGCCTCAGCGGAGGGCGGCGGTGTATTGGTCACCACTGAGAGCCAGCGACTTCGTACACCGCCGCCCTCCCTGATAGTACAGGCACGTTTCGTCGGCGGGCGTCTGTGCATATCATATCTTCTTGGCGTAGACTTAAGTCGGGCCTGTCCCCCTACAGGGGGATTTTCGACGAAAAATAGGACATACCCCCAAAAAATCAAAAAATAGTCAAAACAAGTTTTCGTCGAAAATCCCCCTGTAGGGGGACACGCCCGACATAAGCGTAGACTCTCAATGCCGACCAGTGTGTCCTTTCCTCCACCTGCTCCATGCCTCTGAGCGGGGCGGGGCATCCAGGCCACGACCGGCGACGAGAAAGGGCGACAAGAAGGGGAGGGCCGATGCCGCCTTCCCCCCATCCCTCTGGGCCAGCCCCCACCCCAGTCGTTGCCCCTGTTGTTCGGGCCAGACCTGGAGGAGCAAGAGGAGGAGGAGGAGGAGGGAGGAGGAGCAGGAGGAGGAGGAGGAGGAGGAGGAGGAGGAGGAGGAGGAGGAGGAGGAGGAGGAGGAGGAGGAGGGGGAGGAGGGGGAGGAGGGGGAGGAGTGGGAGGGGGAGGGGGCGCCCCCTCCCCCCCCCCTCCTGCGCTCTTGGCGGTGAACACAGCGCAGCTGTGACGCCCGCCGCCGCCCTCTCTCTAGGGGCGGGGGGTGTGGCTCTCCGGGCGTTCCTGCGCTTTTCCTTGGCTGCCCCACTCGGAGCTCCCGCCCATCCGGAAGCGCTCCCAAGCGAACGAACCACGTCACGTGAGAGCCGAGTTATCATAAGCAAACTCGTACACTGGTAGTGCTGAGGAGGCAACGCAGCCGCCCGCGCGCTTGCGAATCAATCATCGTTTTGACCGCGAGGCGCAAAACTTAGGTCGTGATTTTTCAAGACGTCGCATTTTTTTACCGGTCGCTAGATCTCCCTGTGCAGCGGCTGCTAACATGCCTCTGGCCCAACGTGTCCCCAGCTTTCCGTTCCATTTTGGAGCCCCCGGGGCCCTCTGGACCCCGCGATGGGGCGCCCCGAAGGCCCTGGGGGCCTCCTTGGAGATCCTGGAGGCACTTTGGGCCACGGGCACTTCTATAGCAAATTCCGACCCATCCTCCATGATCGGGGGAGCGTAAGACCCGGGTTTGCCAGGACTCGGGTTCGCCATCATTTTTTGACGACCGCGCCTCGGATTTTGACGAGGAGGAGTTTCGTGGGATGTCTGCAGCGGGAGGCCTCGTCAGAATGCAGGCTCGGCCTCGTCATTTTTTGGACGACCTCGTCGGGGATTTCCGAGCCCCCTGTACCCAGGTCTTACGTCCCCCTGACAGAGTGCAGTCAACGACGCTGAAAGGAGGACCACTCTGGGTTCGGCAGGGTCCCTCGTGTTCGAGCCGCTCCGCAGGCTGAGAGGTTGGGGAGCCTGCTCGTGGCGGAGGTTCGCCGCGGCCAGGAAAGCCCCTTCGTTCCTTGTTCAGCGCTCCTCTTGGTCATTGACACGGCGCTGTGATGGGCTTGCTTTCTACCACCACTACCGTAAGTTGGAGGGGGAAGCAGGTGGAGGAGGAGGAGGAGGAGGAGGAGGAAGAAGAGGAGGAGGAGGAGGAGGGGGAAGCAGGTGGAGGAGGAGGAGGAGGAGGAGGAGGAGGAGGACCCCCTCCCCCTCCTGCTTGTGGTGGTGGCGGCGGAACACGAGCCCACCAGACTGTGCGCCTTTCTGCGCCTCCGTGCCTCGGTGTCTGTGCCTCTCTGCCCTGTGCGTGCGCGGCAGCTTCGCGCCGCGCTGACGCGGCGCGGCGACCCCACCCGGTCGTCGTCGTCGTCGTCGTCGTCGTCGTCGTCGTCGTCGTGGCCGGTGGCCTGGAACCAGCAGGCACCGAACGAGCTGCGCGGTCGGAGGGCCGCGGCCGCCCGGGGCCGAGTGCGAGGCCAATTTGTATACACCACCACCGCCCGCAACAGTAATTTTCCGCAAAAAGGGTTAGGGGCAGGGTCATGCCAGACGACGCTGCGACGCCACGGCGAAAAGGAGCGCGGCGCAGCTCGCAGGCGCCGTGGCATGGGGAGTTCCTGAAGCAGAAACAGCACTTCTTGGTGGTGGTGTATAAAAATCGCTCCCATTGGTAACCAAAATTATATACACTACCACCGCGCGTGCTTTGATGAATTCTGTTTCGGTCTTTAAGAGAGAGGGGGCAGCCCGGTTGCCGCTGGCGGCGGGAGGGGGACTGGGGGCTTTTCACCAGAGCAAAACTGCACCACATCGCACCGTAGATTATTCTCGATCTTGGTGGTGGTAGTCATATACTGTGTTCGGACCGAGGGATGCGCGTGCGCGCCGCGCGCCAGGCACGGGCGCGCAAGAGGCCGCCGCGGCACGGGCGCGTGCCGCGGCCACGTCGCCGCCGCAGGTGCTCTGCAGCTGCGGGGGGCCTTCCTTCCGGGGCGGGGAGCTGTCCGCAGGCGCCGCCTGGCGGGTGGACCTTCGCGGACCTCCACAGGCGGTGGATGTGGACATGGATCTGGATGTGGGTATGGGTTTGGCTAGG